CCCCCCCCCCGACATTCACCCCTTCACGCCAATTACTTATAATTGGAGATTAACGACCTCGCACCATCCTCTGACAGCTCCGCTCGCGCTCATCCACAAATGCACATGTCTAGGATGTACGTGCTGGTTGAATAATTAGTCAATCCAATCAGCCACCCCTTAGATTTATCATTTCTGATTATTGCCAGAAGCGCGATAACCTGATAACAATAGTATACAAATTTTCCGAATTATCCTCATAATTTACCTCGGTAATGAAAAAAAAAAAAGTTTTAATGCGATGTAAGATAACGAGTCTATGCTTCATTTTTACGGGCACATTGACGGAGGTTATCTCGATCTGACTCTTGTTCCTAGAAAAATGATAACAAAGACGATAATGAAATTCCAGACGTCCGACGGTCCTTTGATATCGTTCATTCGAACAAACTCGAATTGTTTTATTCTCGAAATGTAAATTGTCCATTGAATCTTATCGCAACGACCTGTGACATTTCTCAGCGCTTCAGTGATAACTACCATTATATTTTTCCCTCACTATTTTTGTCATTCATCCTCGGCAGCTTTGATGGTGCATTTTAAAAAAATTTGTCCTAATTAACGTTTCGACGTGACGTAAAAGACTTGGATCGAATATCGATCGATCTTCAGGTACACTTTCCTGAAAAAATTCAAAGAAAAAAAACCGCGAAATTCAAACAGGATTGGACGATTCGTATGAAAAATTTGCGGTTGAGAGAATTTTCATGCGACGACGTAAAGAGAAATCCTGACAAAAGGATTTTCGTGTCCATTTGCTCTGTGTGGGAGGAAAACGTACGGATCTGGGAATTATGCTTACTACCCTTCTATTTTATCATCCTATCCCATTATCATCGTACGATTGTACCGTATGATATCGTTGCACCACAATACCATTGTACCGTGGTACAAGAAGGGTCCCTATGGTAACCTTTTGCAAGCACCCTTTTCTCGACCGAAAGCTATGGCAGATTAAAGGGAAACAATCGTTGAAACATTTCGCTTGGTAATTCCGTAAATGGTGGCAACCCTCTTGCGTCGATTAATTTTCTTACTAATCGTCGAGTTACGACCGGGGCTGCTTTTACGGTTCCTTTTCTAGCCCGTGCCAAGCTACTTGTCGAGAGTAAGGCTGACTCCTAGTGAATTGCAATAGGTAATGCCTTTGAGGGATGAAAAAAGTAAGAGAGGTTTGGAACTGTGGAGGGTGAAAGAGGGGGGGGGGGGGGGAAAAAAAA